AATATATTCAAGACATGGGCATACGCACATGTAAGCATTTAATACTTATGTATTGTATTTTGAGCCCTATACATGTATATACTCATCTATGTTCATTGTGTATGTATTTTACGTATGTCAGTGTGTATTAAATGTATGTGATACATAAAATTAAGCTTTTATTTCCTTTTTGAAATGTGCATAAATGTGCTAATGCTTTTTTTGCATCATTTATTCTGAGCACATGTTCAGACCATTTCATAAAAGTCAGTTTTACATGATAGGTAGTTTTTACAAGCAAATATGATCAAAATCTTAGGAACACAATTTCTAACAGATGAAGAAAAATTAAATCTGGTATGTGTTTGAATGTGTGTTTGTTTATTTTCTGTAGACTGAAGGTCATTTATGAAATGCTTCCTGCCTACACACATTTTCTTTTTGTCAATGAAAAAAAAAGCTTCAAATATAGTAAGATTTTCTTTCATCTGAAAATATTTGTCTGATAGCAAGGAATGTATCAGGATATACTTTGTTTATGGATGTGAATGATACATGTGTGCATTGTGTATGTGATATAGAAACTAGTATGTATAGTGTGTCCCTACGTGGAAGAATTTTATGAATGTGGTGATATATATTAGTAGTTATAAGCATTTGTTTGTTCAGTTTCAATTGCACTACATTGAATTGTGATTAAATTAAGAGTACCAGTTTTTGAGGTGATATTTTCTTGTGTTTAAACATTTATCTGCAAATTATTTATTAATTTGAAAGCCAAAAAGGGAGCAACAGTCTATTTAAGACAGTGAAATCTCAGGTGTAGGTGCACTTGCATGTAATTTTGTTAAGTGTAATGTGACCATTATAAAGCTCTGTCATTGCTTGTATATTTCTGCATATAATGCTTTCTATCAAATTTCTAGTATTATGCTCAATTTCTTTTTTTTCTACATGAGGTGTAGCCTCTATAAGCAGTGACAAAGATATGAAATAAGCATTAGAATTTAAGGTTGAAAATATTCTTATTGGACATTTTACTTATCTTTAGAAAAGATAGAAAATAGAGAAAGTGTTTCTTATCAGTGTCACAGCTCATTAGTAGTCTGTGTAATTGATCAAACATGAAAGGTTAAAGAAAAAAGAAGATAAAGGTCTGATTATTAGATAATTTATCATTATTATGGTTGTTATGCATTTTTAGTATTGTAACAATCTTTATTGCCCCAAAAATTAACAAAAGAACATATCCCATGATTTTGATATGTTATCTGGATAAATATTTGTAGAGTAGATGTAAAAAAAAATGTTTTTGTGCAAGGCAGTTGTGTTTGTATAACCAAGTAAATTATTTTTCTTCACTAAAAATGATTTTGTTTAAAATAAGCCACTAGTGGTAATTCAGGTTGTGTTCGTTAGTACTTACAACAGTTAAGGGAAATTGTTTTTTCTAAGTAAGTATGCATGTTATAAAGGCAGATTTTATCTTTTGAAACTTTCCCCACATGCCTTTCTTTTACAAATTTATTTCTATGCTTCACATCATTTTGAAAGATTCCATATTTTATTAGTTATATTTTACACCAGTTTTTGTCCCTCAGGAAAATTGTGTACAGTGACTTGGAAGCCTTAACTCCTGAGCAGTACATGAAGGTGATCACACGTAAACTGACTGACATCAAAGCTGTCCATAGTCCAGAGCAGCGTGGAGCATTGATCCAGGTGCTTGAACAAGTGTACAGGTTCACTCTTGGTTCACTGGCTGGTGGTTAGTATGATGCCTTGTCTCTTTTCTTCTTTTTGTCAATGAAAAAAAAAAGCTTCAAATATAGTAAGATTTTCTTTCATCTGAAAATATTTGTCTGATAGCAAGGAATGTATCAGGATATACTTTGTTTATGGATGTGAATGATACATGTGTGCATTGTGTATGTGATATAGAAACTAGTATGTATAGTGTGTCCCTACGTGGAAGAATTTTATGAATGTGGTGATATATATTAGTAGTTATAAGCATTTGTTTGTTCAGTTTCAATTGCACTACATTGAATTGTGATTAAATTAAGAGTACCAGTTTTTGAGGTGATATTTTCTTGTGTTTAAACATTTATCTGCAAATTATTTATTAATTTGAAAGCCAAAAAGGGAGCAACAGTCTATTTAAGACAGTGAAATCTCAGGTGTAGGTGCACTTGCATGTAATTTTGTTAAGTGTAATGTGACCATTATAAAGCTCTGTCATTGCTTGTATATTTCTGCATATAATGCTTTCTATCAAATTTCTAGTATTATGCTCAATTTCTTTTTTTTCTACATGAGGTGTAGCCTCTATAAGCAGTGACAAAGATATGAAGAAATAAGGTCTGATTATTTGATAATTTATTATTATTATGGTTGTTATGCATTTTTAGTATTGTAACAATCTTTATTGCCCCAAAAATTAACAAAAGAACATATCCCATGATTTTGATATGTTATCTGGATAAATATTCGTAGAGTAGATGTAAAAAAAAATGTTTTTGTGCAAGGCAGTTGTGTTTGTATAACCCAAGTAAATATTGATAATACATACTTTTTTAAGTTTCAGATATTAACATGTACTGTGCATCAGCTTCAATAAGATTGGATGTAAATCATTACACTGGTGTATACTTAGCTCATACTGATATTGTAAAGAGAAATATATGTGATTATGCATTTGGTTCTTGTTAAAGACTGGAATATGAGTAGCGTCGTTAGCAAAGAAAAAGTATTCAAATATATGGCCGTATTCTGATATTCTTTATTTCCCCCAAAGTTGCTTTATTTTTGAGGTGATTGTAATGAGATCGATGCATTAGAGGTAATGCCTTTTAATAGTATAGAGTTTATTAGTTCTTGTTATACAAATGGTTTTACGTGAGCTAAAATTATATCTGTGTCTTCTCTTAATAATGAACTAGTCTCTCTCCTACAGTGGTTTTGCAGCTGCATGGTAGTCATAAGTGGCAGTTCTTAATACAACATGTCGAAGAGGCGTGGTATCCTGTAATGTATTTGATAGCATTATTGTTAGGCAGAATATCCTATGATTTATACTTAGTGTATTTCATACTTAGATGATCAGTACAGTCTACATAGCTTATGTTTCTGCAGTAATTATGAACAGTGTTGGGACACTCTGTGCTACTAAACTAAGTTGAAATTATATTGATCTGGACAATTCCAGAGTATTGCAGTTGTCAGCTATTAAAATTTCCTTTTTTTTCTTCACTAAAAATGATTTTGTTTAAAATAAGCCACTAGTGGTAATTCAGGTTGTGTTCATTAGTACTTACAACAGTTAAGGAAAATTGTTTTTTCTAAGTAAGTATGCATGTTATAAAGGCAGATTTTATCTTTTGAAACCTTCCCCACATGCCTTTCTTTTACAAATTTATTTCTATGCTTCACATCATATTGAAAGATTCCATATTTTATTAGTTATATTTTACACCAGTTTTTGTCCCTCAGGAAAATTGTGTACAGTGACTTGGAAGCCTTAACTCCTGAGCAGTACATGAAGGTGATCACACGTAAACTGACTGACATCAAAGCTGTCCATAGTCCAGAGCAGCGTGGAGCATTGATCCAGGTGCTTGAACAAGTGTACAGGTTCACTCTTGGTTCACTGGCTGGTGGTTAGTATGATGCCTTGTCTCTTTTATTCTTTTACGTTATTCATTCTTATTTATATTAGTAGAAGACACTGACTTCAATTTATTCCCCTCACATAATGTTTGTAGTTGTAACATTTTTTTCTTCTTCTTCAAGACTGTCAGAGAATGAAGATGGTTTTCATTAAACATTGTCTTATGTATTAGTAATTTTGCTAATTGATGAAATTTCCTTCAAAAACTAATGTAGAAGAAGTAAGTTTTAAGACAAGAAATTTAATTTCCTACACCTAAGACTTGAGGTCAGATTGTCTCCTGATTTTAATGGATGAAAGGATTTCTTCCTTGGATGTTATTTCAGCCTTTCAATAGATACTAAGACTTCAAAAATTCAGGGCAAGTAAGAGATCAAAATGCAGCACTTACAGATGGGCATAATTTCATTGAAACCAAATTTTAAGGAAACATGTAGTTTTCAATGATTATAAAATACCATATGTTTGCCAAAGTTGATATTACACATTGACTCCGCTTTCTAGCACTGAGCTTGGTATTTCCTGCCCAGACACAAAGATGCCCACAAAACCACAAAAGATATTATCACGGGACTCACCCTCATCAGTATGAAAATAGATCTATATACACTGATATGAAAGAGCAGTGATCTTTGCAATCATGGAAGTTGCAGACAAAGTTGATTGCTTTCTTACTCCACCATTCTTGATTATCTAAATGTAAAGACTGGTGTTTTTTTCATTTAAGTATTTTATCCGGCTGTTGGATCATAAAATAACCATTGTTCACTGAAATTATTTTCATAGGCTTTGAAAAACTAACAAGCTCTTTCAACACCTTCAAGTGACTGTTACATATTAGCTTATTTTGGCACATATAAAAAAGTTCACCCATTGTATCATTGTTATATCTAATGGAGTCCCTTCCATATTGATTGATACTTTTCACAGTCATATATAATGGTATTCATCTATATTTGCTTATGTGCTTTTATTGATTTTTGGATTTTTTTGCATGTGGAAGAACTGTGTAAGCAACAAAGAACAGTCTAGTCTTCACCCAAAAGGATCCATGTTTTAGAAGTTAAGAAAGGAAAAATTCATAGAATACATTTATCTTCATGATGCAGAAGGATAGATATTAGTAATAAGTCATATTAGAAAAATTAAGATTTACTTCTGTTGTTGACAGAAGAATACAGATGTAGGAATGTGAATAATAAGGTAATGGAATGCACTGTACTTGAACATTTTAAAATTTCCGTTCCTTCTTATTTTATGTGATTTCTGTAGATTTTTATGGTCTTAGGAATTAAAAAAAAAAACTGTTATAAGGTGTGCAGCTTTTTTTAGATGAATAATTATTTTACATGTGGTCATGATTTTTGCTCTGTTAAGAAATTATAAAAATTGTTTTTGAAAATTTACTTTTTCAGCACTTGCAATATAAGCTGAATAATTTTAAGTATCAGAAATTTCAGTTGTAAGTTCATTTGAAAACATGACAAGTTTAGTTATTTTGCAGTGTTTTAATATCAAGAATATTTAAATTTATTTGATGAATAGTAAAGAAATGCCTTTTAAATCATCAGCTGTTGGTGCTACTGCTGTGTATCCAATTGACTTGGTGAAGACAAGAATGCAGAATCAACGTACTGGTTCCTACATCGGTGAATTGATGTACCGTAATTCCTTTGATTGTTTCAAGAAGGTTTGTAGAGAGTGGTATTGATTGCTTATAAGACTGAATTGATATGTAGGAAAATTGTAGCTTTCATCAACTCAATAGTAGTGGGAAAATCAGGGCACACAAGTCACATATTTAGAAGTGCACAGGCATGGTATTTTCCTTGGCCCTTTTGGTCTGGCCACTTATCTTTTTCAATTAAGGCATACAAGATTATGGGTTTAGGCAGACTCAAAATCTGTAGCTCAGAGTCATAGAACTATATATCCATGCAGAGTGCAGAACAGAAAGCAGTTTCCATTGTCATGGCAATTATAGGTACCTCCCAGGCTTCAGACATGCCCTTGCCCATAGTTGGTACCTGTTATCATTAGGTTGAATACAGTATCTTTTATATTATATATTCAATTATATTATTTAGAACCTTTAAGTATGTGAGATTTATTTGCAATTCCAAATTAAGGCTTTTTTCTCATTATTTATTGAATATTAATCTTTTCAAGATTTTATATTTTTTAACAAATTTGTTCTCAAAGCTTTGCATGTTTTCAGGTGATTCGTCATGAAGGTGTCATGGGCTTGTATCGTGGCTTGGTGCCTCAGCTGATTGGTGTTGCTCCTGAAAAGGCTATTAAGCTCACCATGAATGATTTGGTCCGTGACAAGTTGACGGATAAGAAGGGAAATATTACCTTTGCTAGCGAAATGTTTGCTGGTGCTTGTGTGAGTATTTAGTTAATATTTTGATTTTACATTGGTTGTTGTAGAACACGATATCATTTGCTATAATGTTGTAAATGTATACTGAGTTTTGTTGGTGACTCTCCTTCAGGCTGGTGGGTCTCAGGTGATCTTCACCAATCCACTTGAAATTGTAAAGATTCGTCTACAAGTGGCTGGAGAAATTGCAACAGTGAAGAAAATATCAGCAGTTTCAGTAATCAAAGAGTTAGGATTTCTTGGACTGTACAAGGTAAGATAAAACCAATTCTTTCTGTAGATGGAAAGGAAAACTTGAAGATTTGAATATTTAATCATTTTCAGTGTTGGAAAGGGGAAAAGTTGGATAATGGTATTCTAGTTACAGAACATCTGTATGTGATAAGTAATGTTCTATCCGCAGGGAGCGCGTGCTTGTTTCCTGCGAGACATACCATTTTCTGCTATTTACTTCCCTGTCTATGCACACTCGAAACAATTACTTGCTGATGAAAATGGTTACAATTCACCATTAACACTGCTGATTGCTGGTGCTATTGGTAAGGGCCTATTAAAAGTTTATTTAAACTTTAGAATAGTTTTCAAATATTTATTTCTGGCACTTACTTCCTCTGATATTGCTTTCTCCCAGCTTTGGAGGCAGAATAAGACAGAATGTGAATGTTAGCATGTAATTAGAGGTGCAGTATAGAATATGAACAAATATGGAGTTTATGCTTTGCTTGCAATTACTATTAAATTGTATTAGAAATTTTTCTTAAGAGGATACTATCTCTCTCCAGAGACTGTCTGAATATAATTTGAGATAATTTAACAATATAGCATTTTTATAATTATCTATGATATTTGCCCACAGGTGGTGTCCCTGCAGCTTCTCTGACAACACCAGCTGATGTCATTAAGACACGCCTGCAAGTAGCAGCTCGAGCTGGCCAAACAACCTACTCCGGGGTGTTTGATGCAGCTAGAAAAATTTTCAGAGAGGAAGGTGGCAAAGCCTTCTGGAAGGGAGCACCAGGTAGGGAAATATTCTCTCCCTCTTGGGGGGAGGGGGATATATACATGTGTGTGTGTGTGTGTGTGTGTGTGTGTGTGTGTGTGTGTGTGTGTGTGTGTGTGTGTGTGTGTGTGTGTGTGTGTGTATGTTTGTTTGTCTAATATATATATATATATATATATATATATATATATATATATATATATATATATATATATATATATATATATATATTGTGTATTTATATATATGTGTATGTGTATGTGTATGTGTATGTGTATGTGTATGTGTATGTGTATGTATATGTGTATGTATATGTATATGTATATGTATATGTATATGTATATGTATATGTATATGTATATGTATATGTATATGTATATGTATATGTATATGTATATGTATATATATATGTGTGTGTGTGTGTATGTGTATATGTGTATATATGCATATGTATATGTGTGTGTGTGTGTATGTGTATATGTGTATATATGCATATGTATATGTATGCTTATGCATATGCATATATTTTTTATTACCATTATTATTATTATTGTACATATGACTACAGTATTTTTTATTCTTATTCCTATTCTTATTCTAATATTCTTGATGTTACTGTTTTTTTCTCTCTATTATTTTTTCTTTCTTTTTTGTTCTTTGTTATTATTATCACTTGACTCTTGACATTCATTGTGATTTCCATGACATTAACCTCACCAGTCCTAAATTGTTGTAGGAAAGGAGAAATATCAATTAGAGGGCGGGAGACTGGTTTGGTACTTCACAGCAGTTTCTCCCATGTAACGTAATCCTTGTATATCCTGCCTTCTGAATGTCTATGGCTAGGCTCTCATCCATCGTCTGTATTGATTTAGTAAAAGAGTACATATGGGGCAGATTTTATTTAGTGGTTATCAAAAGACTTACTACTTAATTTTTTTAAGTATCCTGTGTATGTATCTGCAAGTATGGACTTTTTAGACACAGGGATGCAACAAATGAAAAGAATTAGATGCAACAATACATAATTACCATCTCTGAGTTTGTAATATAAGAATTAGGTTTGCATTCCTCTGTCTGCATCAAAGATAACTATATACAAAACTAGATGCAAAAAGAAAGAGGAAAGTCTAGTATATGCAATAATTTATTTGTACAAAAACACTTCAGTAAAAAGTAGAAGAATAAAAGTTAACAAAAACATATCATTTACTTAATGCAGAATATGAGTGGGTGAAAGAGTTTACATGAAAGTAAAGGGAATATTCACAGGATTGGAAGTCTGTCTGGCATGTATAGATATTAACTTTAGCACAGCTTTTTTTAAAATCATATATCAGATTTGAAGTGCATCTTGCTTTCGAAAAATTTAAATATTTTGTATTCATCAGTGGGGATTTGAAAAACAGAATACTCCCCAAGAATTGTCATGCTTTATTGTATAGAAGTGGAGGATTTAATTTTAAGAGATGGTCTAGAATTAGTTTGATGTTTTTAAAGAAAATGTATTAGATTTAGGGGAAAAATTATATTAGTAACTCTCATGAATCTGTAACCAGGGCAATGTACTTGAAGAGCTATCTTGTTTTTGCAGTTTTAAATGTTTGGTATGATAGATGATGTTTATTATCATTATTATTTAGTGATAAGTACTGTATTTAGTTCAAGATATATTTATGGAACATGCAAGAAGTGATCAAGAATAAGGAAAAGGGAAAACAGGCTTTTAAGGACTCAGTGATTTTATGCAATTGGCTAAATAATGAGATTTAAAGTTTTTCTTGCATAAAGGTAGAATTGACCCAATTCTAAAGATTCCCTTTTTAGTTCAGGATGGAAATCATGTGTTAATTTTTCATTCGTGCCTAGGATCTCTCTCCCTTTACCTCATCGCCAGAGAGATGGGGAGACAGGGTGGTATGATCGGTGAGCATTTGTAGTGCCCTGCAATGAAGACATGATGTCAGTAGACTGGGTGGGGGATACTCTGGGACAGTTAGTGCTTGAATAAAAGACATTTGAGCTTTATGAGTCACATTTGCAGAATGTGGTTTTGATTACAGCCACTGATAAATAAATGAAGATTATGAAGGAAAGATGGCAGGAAATTGTTTGAGATTTTAATTTCTTGATAGTACCTCTGTTGCCAAAATGGTCATGGAAGTGCAAAATATTATAATTGATTTACCTTTTTGGAAAAAAGGGAAAGGAAAGAAAAGATGTAATTGACAGACCATGAAACTAGTTAAACCTCTCTAGTCCTGTTCTCTATTTTCTTAACCATATTTTTGGGGTAATATCATACATAGATAATTTGAATGAAACTGCATTTAAAACTGCTTTCACTATTTTATTTTCCTTTCTTTTTTTGCCTACAGTATATAAAGATATGTTTTAGGTGTTGTTTGTGTTACAAGTGTACTTGATTGCAGTTATACCTGTTCTTTTCATTAATGGTATATAGCTGTAATTGTACTCAGTTATTCTTTGTTTTAGAAACTGTTTGTAAATTACCAATTTGCCCTGGTGTCAAGGCATACTTCGTAACATAGTTTTTGCTTGAACCCAGATGTCAAGGATGTCTTCACAGTTTGTGTGGTTTCAACTATATTCTTCAGTGGTTTTAAACATTTGCATACTGTGCAGCTTCCTGCAGATATACAGCCTTCTGAAATTGGCTGAAAACTTTTTTTTTTTTTTTTTTTTTTCATAGATACAGCCTATGGAAACAGGGATACATAGCAGACAACATGAGAAATATATCTGAACTAGTACTGCTCCCTCATAGATGGCCACTTGAGTATAGCAAGTCTATACTTCCACCAACTCAGTGGTTTAGTCCTGGGTGCAACAAGTTGATTTGTATATGCTTAAATGGTTATTTTCTTAAACTGATTTACTTGTCCAGTTCTATATAATATAATGGCTAAAGAAGGACATGTTCTGTACTCGTAGTATAGGAATTTCTTAGATGTGGCTTCAGTCAGATCCCAAGGTGGTATATTAGAGAGGTTCAACAGATCACACATTTTCAATTTTACTGGCTTCACTTCATAAACCTTCATTTTCTTTCTGCTTAAAACTAATCAGTTATAAAAGGCAATAAATATATGGCTCCCACTCTTCATAATTAAAGGGGAAAGATATACTGTACTTACACATTCATTATTTTTAAACTGTAGCAAGTATTGGCACTTTATATTTGTTGTTGTAACTGTTGTGTATATATCTTTTTCCATGAAAACAATTTTTTTTTTGGTTGCTGGAAATAATTTTTTTAACCCATTCGCGCCGGGTAAAAATGAACAAAAAATGGGAGAAATGCTCTGCTCAATTTTTATATTTTTTAATGAAATTTCTCTACACTAGATGGCTCTGCTTTACCGGATTTCATTTGGCGGGAAAATGTATTTTTACTTGTGCTATGAATATCGATGGTTATTTTTATTATAAACATTATAATTACTATAATGTTATAAACATTAGTAACAGCAAAATAAGATAACGCAAAATAATTTCGTAAATTAAAGAAAAAGGTAAACAGACGAGACAGGCAATACAAGTGCAAGTGGAGCCATCTATGTTTGTAAACAATCAAACAAGTAAACTCACAGTAGGCCCGTCACGTATACGTGACACCCGGCGTGAATGGGTTAAGTATGAAAAAATTGTAAGTTTCTCCAGTAAACTTCTTGAATATTCACATGATCGAAAAGATAAAAACTTAATTTATCTGTACAGTGGTAATAAACTAGAAAATTAAGTAGGTCAGTGAAAGACACCTAGTGTAATTGTTGCTTTTGTCATGATATATATATATATCTGTGTGTGTGTGTGTGTGTGTGTGTGTGTGTGTGTGTGTGTGTGTGTGTGTGTGTGTGTGTGTGTGTGTGTGTGTGTGTGTGTGTGTGTGTGTGTGTGTGTTTACCACCATACAGTGTTAAAATTCCTTTAAGGCAATTAAATCACATTTTTAAAAAGCCCTCTGTGAAATTTGTAGTGCTCTCATCTGGGAATATAAATAAATTTTATAATCCTAGGAAAACCAGATTAGAAGTAAAACTGGTAAAAGGAGATAAAACTCAGTTAAGGCTCTTGTGCCACAAGTTGCATACATGGAAAGATCAACATGTAAATCTTTACCACCTTTTCTTTATATTCTTGGCTTTCTGCTGGATGAAAACTTGGGGTACATAGAGGCCATGAGACCAAAACACTATTGTTGTTCTTTCTGTTTCTTCTCCTTTTTCTTCTTTTCCTTCTTCACATTCTCCTTCATTTCCTTCTCCTTCTCCTTCTCCTTATTATTATTCTCTTTATTATTATTATTCCCCTACTTTCCCTTCTTCCCCTTCATCTCCTTTTTCTCTTTCTCTTTCTCCTTCTTCTCCTTCTCCTCCTTCTACTTCTTCTTCTACTTCTTCTTCTACTTCTTCTTCTACTTCTTCTTCTTCTTCTTCTCCTTCTCCTTCTTCTCCTTCTCCTTCTCCTTCTTCTTCTTCTTCTCCTTCTTCTTCTTCTCCTTCTTCTTCTTCTCCTTCTTCTCCTTCTCCTTCTTCTCCGTCTCCTTCTTCTCCTTCTCCTTCTTCTCCTTCTCCTTCTTCTCCTCCTCCTCCTTCTCCTCCTTCTTCTCCTTCTTCTCCTCCTTCTCCTTCTTCTTCTTCTTCTTCTTCTTCTTCTTTTTCTTCTTCTTCTTCTTCTTCTTCTTCTTCTTCTTCTTCTTCTTCTTCTTCTTCTTCTCTCTTCTCTCCTCCTCCTCCTCCTCCTCCTCCTCCTCCTCCTCCTCCTCCTCCTCCTCCTCCTCCTCCTCCTCCTCCTCCTCCTCCTCCTCCTCCTCCTCCTCCTCCTCCTCCTCCTTATCCTCCTCCTTATCCTTCTTCTCCTTTTTCTTCTTCTTCTTCCTAGATTGACATAATGGCTATGATAAGTGCTTTGTAAAATTTAACATATTAAACCAGTACAAGACTTCTGATTGGATGCAGTGTAACTACATTATTTAGCAGGGGAAACATCTGTAATTAGAAATCAAGACTATTTCATTCTAATGGATCATTTAATATTTGATATTTGTGATTCTTTTCCTTAATAGCCCTCTTTTAAGCAAAGGTTACAGTATGACCTCAGCAGTGTGGAGTAGTATCTTTCCAATTAATGTTTATTTTGCATTCCAGAAATGCATGGATCATTTGATTTCATTTCAGAGTTTGCTGCTGATTCTGTCTATTAAGATATTTATAGATTGTTTTTTGATATGTTATTTGATGTCTTGATCAAAGAAAATCTGGGACAAGGAAGCACATATATCTCACATTATTTTTATAATTGAAACATTATTTATGATATGATCATTAATTAAAGGAGCATTAGCTAATGTGATGGGAATTAACATTTAGAAGATGGCAATGTTTTTTTTATAATTATATTTACTATGAAGAGTGGAGTCTTTTACATTTCTAATTGCCTTGTTTTTTATGTAGTCATTAGTAAGGGTGTTATTCATTTTTGTTTTGACTTTTTTGATAGTGTGCTATTGATTATATATTTTATGGTCTTTTGAGGAAAAAAGTGTATACTTGGATTCTAGTGTTGAGGATTTTGATTAAGCATCCTGGGGAAATGACTCCAGTTTTTGGTTTCTAATAACACCTGATTGTAGTAGGTCAGTCACCAAAAAAAATACCTGGGGTACTAAAATTTTCCATTTAAAAGATAACAGCTTATTCATGTATCTTTGTATTTATGTGTATACTTATGTATGTATACACAAGTTTTAAGAAGATTTTATGGTTCATTTGGACATCATAAAATGATCTTATTAACCTGATGGCATCAAGGGTGACATGCCATGCCCACTGTGAGTTTATATTATTCATTGTCATTACACATAGAGGGCTCCACAAGTACTTAGTCACAAAGAAGTCAATTACTATAACTACCTACCTCACTTGGTTACCCTTTTCCTTGATTTTAGGAAATTTCTCTTTTGTCTTATATTGCTATTAGTAATGTTCATTACATTATGATGATTACAATATTTATAATAAAGTATTACAGCATTAATATTGATAGCATAATAAAAATATTTTTTTTCCCTAAAAACTTAAAGAAAGGGGAAATCAGGTGAGATCTCAAGATCTACTAATTGACTTCTTGGTGGCTGAGCACTTGTTGAATGATCTCTGTGTAGAGATATTTCACCCAAAAACAAGTGAACTTTATATTTTCCCATTGGCTTATGGTTAAAGGAGCTGCATTTTGATTGCAGTGACTGAAGGGTTTAGAAATGCGCTTTTTTTGGTGACTAGGTTTGTAATTTCCAAAGTAATCTAGGTAGTGAGAAAGAGGGACAGAAATGCTCTTTTGTATACTGTTTAACTAACAATATCTCCTGTTTGTAAACTGCATTTTCATCATTCATATATTCTTATTATAACAGGCTACATAGACTTTGTAATCTCTCAGTTATTAATGGAATAATTCAGGTTATAGGTTGATAGTCTTTTTGTTGTACATTAATGTAGTTTAGATCCTAGATGATGCATATTGGAGCATGTACAGTATAGGTTTACCATTAAAATAATGTAGCAAATATAATATTCCACTGTGGACCATCAGAGCAGAAGCTAGAGTACCACATAAGAAAAAAGATAGGTACTATTTTTTGTTTCTGAGTTCTTTTTCATGTTCTCCCCAGCTCGTGTGTTCAGGTCCTCTCCGCAGTTTGGTGTTACACTGGTGACCTATGAAGTTTTGCAGAGACTCTTCTATGTTGACTTTGGTGGCAGGTATGTTTCAGAATGATTTATGTTTTGCATTTGATAATATACTTTACTCCAGGATCAGTTCAGAGATAAGACTACTTTAATATTTAGAACTGTGATAAAAAGAATGATAGTACAGATAGATAAATGTTAAGAGTCTCCATACTTCCAATATGCCAATAAAATGATTATATAAGGACACTTTTTCTTTCTTCCCCAGTCGTCCAAAGGGCTCTGAGGCTCAGCTCCCTGCCTCTGCTGCAGATCTGCGTTCTACTAACCCAGACCATGTTGGAGGGTACAAGGTTGCCGTTCCTATCTTTAGAGGCATTGAATCAAAGTTTGGCCTCTTCCTTCCTCGTTTCGCGTGAGAACAGAAAGAGAGATATTGTGTATATTTTGGGGTGTAGTTAATTATTTTTTAGAATTCTGTGCTCTGATTTTACTATTTATTTTATATAGCTGATAATTTAAAGAAAGAGAGAAGAAGAATTCCTTTTAAATATTTCCTGTTTTAATATTTATGACATGTTCTTTAGAAGTGATTTTATGAAGTCTGGAAATAGCATGTTATGTTCATGATGTGTATATAAATGTAAACTTTTTTGTTTTTTTTCCTTGTTTTCAATCTCACTGAAAATTAAATTTCAGAAAATGTGGTTCAGATCAAGTTATATATTTAAATTCATTTGTGAGATGTCATTCACATTGTAAGAAGAATAAAAGGGAATTGTTGGATGTTTTCCATCCATGTAATCTGATTAATGTCAAACATGTAAGACATTTTGAAATGGAAGACTCAAAGAAAAATTTTTTTTTTCTTTATTCCTTATAACAACAGGAACTGGAATAAACTCAATAGCACCTCTATGTGATTCATATGTACAGGGTAGTGTCAAACTAGTTGAACCTTTCCTTTCATATTCATAGGACAGTATAAAAATGCAATAGAAAACCAAAAGCTTGTTCCACTGTGAAGTGTACATGAGCTCTCAGAGTATTTGTATAGGTCAGTTAACAAAGCTGAGTTTGAGTTTCATGTGTGATCAAATATGTCACTAGCAATGTACATAGGGTTTTGTGCTGTGACCCAGTTATTATATGAAATAGATATCCAATTACCTTTTGAAATAAGTGAAGTTGTTATCTGAAATGCCTTTTACCTAAGTACATTTAGCCTTGATTAGTAGAGGTAGGCTTCATACCTGAATTTCAGTAGATTGTTATGAATGTATATTAAATAAGATCTCCCAAGGCATGTGTGATAACAGCAGGCTTTGAAGCCCATGAAAAAGGATATACTGGTACATGTAAAAGGTTGGTTTTGACATCTTTCATACTGGATATCTCACTGGACCATGAATATGTAAAACACTAAAGATTTGATAAGATCTGTTTATTTTTATTCTCTTAGCTCTTCAAATAAGCTGCAATTTGACATGTGGATAGAGAGCACACTGTAGTTATTGAATTCTCAATAGAAAATGTATATGACTTTAACTATGGCAATAATCTGTAGATAAAAATAAAATCAATGGCAACTCTTGTACAGCTGTATTTGTACAAAAAGTGAGTTATCTATTGATAGAGGACCTACAGATATAGACTTTGAGAAAAAAATGGGCCTCAAGCCACATTGATCATGTTACACTGAAGAGCATATTTGAAGCTTTTTTCTCCTGGTAGTACACAGTAGCTCACTAAATAAAGTATAAATATAAAGACTTGAGTG